GGTTGGAGCAGTTGCACATTAAGGTTAAAAACCTTCTCTGGTTGTCCCGCACCTGCACAGCTGTGATTTGCCACAAGAGGGCTGGCAAGCAGAAGCCTGACTAGGAGCTGCAACTGAATCACCACTACAGGGCTGGTGAGCCAGGGCAGGCTTCTGTCCCTGCTTTAGGTTGGGGTGTGAGAGAGCTGGGTTGTTGGGAGAGGGCAGAAACATGAAGGTGGGAAGTAGAGAGTTAATGGAATATATCGGTGGCTAATGAAATGGGAGGTGGAAAAGAAATGGGAATGGGTAGCAAATGAAGAAAATCAGCCACTGAAGGATAAAATAAAGTTAAAAAAGAATTTTAAAAGAAATAAAGAGGAAGTAAATTAAAGAAGCTCTCATGTTTTAATAAATTGGGATTTGGGATTGGAGTGTGGGGTTGCTGGTCGTGCTTCACAGGGTGGCTGGGAGGTGGAAACACCGAGGGAAGGTGCTTTTAAGGGAAGCTACTGCTCCTGCCCCAGGAAGGAAGCCCCAGCTCATGGGGACCGTAGCTGGACCCCCACCTTGTTCACCCCCCACACTAACATCACTGTGCTACAGAATCAGTTTCTCTCTTGCTTGTTCTTGCTCTGTCCCCATGTATTGATCATTCTTGACTGCTAAGTAGCACAGATTCATCAGGATCTGTGGAAAGTGACCCCACGCACATTTAGTCTGCAGATGTGGGGTTTTAATCCTCTTCAAGCTGAAAAGGACAGTGATTTTCGTTCTCCAGTTTTCTGTTGCTTTTTTGTTTTTTTTTAATACGAAGGGCTATGGTTGCTGTGCTTTGTGCTGAGTATGATGCTGTCAGCATACATTAAATGTGTTAAGAGCATGTTTAGCAGATCGTACCATTCTAAGCATTTAGGCACATTGGGTGCATCTACATGTGCCATTAAGGTGATGTGATAAACCTTGATACTGTTCCTGCAAGAGTCAGCTGCTCCTGGGCACAGCATCAACACATTTTCCCCCTGGACTGCAGCAGTTTGAGCAGGGGCAGAGCAGACCTGGGCTGGCAGGAGGCCTGGAGTCAGCCCCAGGCACTGGGTGGTAGCATCAGGTGGCAGAGGAGCTGGTTGGGGCACAAGGGAGCTAAAGTGCAGAACTAGGTGGTAGGCAACCCCCACACTTTAGCACCCTCATGCCCCAGTCAGCCTCTGTCAACATCTACACGTGTTTTGATGAAGTTACGTACTCCGCCCTAAGATAGTACTGTCCCCAACAGTACCATCTTCTAGAGGAGTTAATTTAATGTGCTCTAATACCAGTGCATATGTAGATGGTGACACTTTACTATGGAGCTAATTAGTCAACTCCACAGTAAAGCACTTGTGTAGATGCACCCACTGACTGCTACATTGTGCATTTCGTCTGGGCTTCAGTATGAAATAGGCACCAACATATTCAGTTGTGTCCGGATAGTAGAGCATGTTCATTGGTAGCATTCTAGGTACTCAGGGATTTTTTCCGGGTGAAAACTTAGGGGCCTATGGCTTTCAGGTACCTGAGATGTCACCTTTGAACCCAGCCACTTAAAGTTCACCTAACTCCAATGCGCTAAGTGCTTCTGTGGATATAGGCTTAGTGATTTTTCTAGGCTGATGCTGAGATTCTGTTGCTTAGCAAGAAAAAGAATGTGAGCTCCCAGATCCCACACTGACACCAAAACTATCGGAACTTCTTTCTCTTGAAGAAAACAGAAACGACAGGAATGAAGCCAGACTGTGAGTGCTAGCAGAGAATGGTGGTGCTTAGTAGTAAAGAAGTGTGGAATTGGTGATGGTTTGAGAGGAGAGAGGCAGAACTCCCTTTTGGATTATTCCTTATCCCAGACTGACAACAAGAGATCCCAGAGATATCAGAGACAGTCTGAAGTGTGTTATTGGATGGAAAGAAATGGCGAAGTGGAAGAGTGAGATTTTTGTGAGTCATCTTGACAAAAATGGTTATTCCATGTAATGAGAGGACCTACCATAAGAAGCATTGAAAGAACAATCAAAAAGTTACGAGAATAAACCAGGAACAAATGGTATCTTGAAAGCTAGTGAGAATCTGATGACAAGGAAGAGAGAATAACTGATTATACTAAAAGCCATAGATAATTCCAAGAGGATAAGACTGAAGGGCTGTAGAGAGTGTATATTTAAAACAGGGTCTCTCTGAGAGTCGTAACCTATCATGTAAGTTTGTAGGCATGAAGGTCGTTATGTCTAATGCTTTATTTTCCCCCACCTATGAAGATTGGAATAAACAAGATGTATAGGGGCCTCTGCCTTAAGAGCAGTGGGACAGCAATTTAAGCAGCTAAGTGGGTATGATCAGAATAACTATCTATCAACTGGAGTTGATATTTTCATAGTTTTCTTGGATACAAATAATGAGTTGATTTATTTTTGTTTAGATTTCTATGTTGAGAAGTGCATAGAACCAGCATTTCCTGTGGGGAAACATATGTAAAATATACACAAAGTGCATCAATTAAAAAAAGCTGGGTGACAAATAATTACCAGTAGCTATCATGTAATCTCAGAATCCTGTAGCCATTTGTGAAAGTTTTGGAAAAAGTATATTCCCATAATGATATTTATGTGAACTTAATGATTAAGGTTCTTATTAAATAGTGTTCAAGCAGTTTAAAAATGTTTTGTACTCTTGTTTTGTGTCTAGAAAAGTGCTTTCAGAGTAGTAGAGCCTGGATTTTTAAGTATATAACATATCTTATCATCAAAAATGTCCAGATATCAGAAATTACTGATAATCAATGTGTAATTAGTAGATGACAGAATATAGTATCTTAAAGAGATTGTTTACGCAAATAATCTTTTCATATCCAGCCTTTATTTATGAAATTCACTTAATCAAAGGATCTGGTTAACCAATATTTTTGTCTTTTTTTTTTTTTTTTTAATTTCGTATGTGGTTATAGTTCCTTAACCTCCATTTTTAATTGGACTTTTTATTAAGCTTAATGCTAATAGTATCTTGGAATGCTGATGGACTGTGGAAATTGCCTTGCTGGATGTATTGAAAGCTGAAGTACCTAAAACCCTGATTTTATGAAAAGTGTGTATTTTTCATTAATTCCTTGAAAAAAAAAACCCATATATTCATTGCAATAGTTCATGGTCACAGAATACCTTTTTCTAAATAGAAGAAACTTTTGTTTCACAGTATGTATTTTTTTTTTGGAATTTAGAGTATTCTGAAATGATTGTAAACTACAGTTATGGTGATAGTGATGATTTATCTCACAGATATATTAGTTTCTAGTAGTTCAGAAGCTATATAAGACTTACAGAATAATTGTATAGTAATTAACAAAATATGCATAGCATTAAAGTCTTTGAGTTTGGTTTTAGTGAAATGGAGATTGTTGGCCATGATCGTTGTTATTCCACAATCTTGTTTTCATAGACTCATAGGTAAGGAGAGTTGGATGGGACCTCTACAGGTCACGTAGTACAACCCCCTGCATGTGGCAGGATCCAAACCTAACCAAACCATCCTATACAAATCTATTGTCTAACCTATTAGCACAACTACCTTTACCCTGACACAACTACAAGCCATATCACCCTACCTGTCACAGGTAAACCCGGAGGACAACAGTGGCCAAAATCCTGCTGCAAGGATGGTTAAAATACACTTGAGAGATTTTAGGAAGAGGGTAATACCCTCCACTAGAAAAGAAGGCAGCCCCTCTCCCCCCACTCAAACTATATCTAATTATGCACTCATCAGGTATAGATAGGAGGCATTTTGTTGTAGCTGTCATCTAAATGCTAGCGTATAGTCTCCATTGCTGGTAGAGATTTATTGCTGACATTTCTGATTACTGCTCATTAGGAGTCATGTAGGTAAATTCTCCACAGAGATGCAGAGCATTGCTCACAATATTTCTCAGTCACATTTTAAATTCCTGTGAGGATGATAGGTTTGATTTTGTTTCATTTGGTTTTAGTATAAATAGATACTTACAAATGCCAGCACTGAATATATTTTCCACTGATAACATTAAACTTACTTAGAATTGGGGATAAATAATTATTTATTCAAGTTGTAAAGTTTAGAGTTTAGTTTCACTGTGTAATAACTCAGACATAAGGCATAGCACAGACTTTAATCAGGTGAACATGTAATATTTCTTAAAATTTACTTGGTGAAGATTTGAAGAATTATGTATAGCAACTACTGTTAACCAAATTATAGTTTAACTGCTCTCATAGCTGAATTGAATGCAAGAGCTTCTATGTTTTAAAATGAACCAAACTCGGAATTAGTTTTGTTAAATGTTATTAAAATATATTATTTTACTTATTTGTTTGTTTATTTTATATTCTAGGGATAGTTTCCAGAGTTAAATGTGGGGAAAGCTAATCTTGAAGAAAATACATTCATTTTTTATTCCAATTTACATATAGATTACATTGTCCTTCCAACTTAGAGAAGCAGTTATTCTATTTTTGTTTGTTTGTTTTTCTTTTTCCTGATTCCTTTATTTCATTGTGTTTTACCTATCTATTTGTACATCTTTTGGTGATACTTTGCAGAAGTTAGTTTAACATGCTAGTTGTGGAGGTGTGACATTATTGTACTATCCTGCCTATGTGACTGAGGCAGAAATGAATACACAGAAGATTTTTTTTGATAGACTGTGGCCAACATTATAGTTTTGGCAGAGGTAGAGTAAACACAGATGTTTAAAAACATTGAGCTGAAATGGCAGTCTTACCCACTTCTATTGTCATGTAAAACAATATCTGACATATTTTAATTTGTGCAGTTAAAAATCAACATAATTAAGGCAACTTCATTCAAGAGGGGTAAACAGCATTTCCAAAAAGAGCATTCTATGTCAGTTTACAATAGACTCCTAAGTAGAGATGTCGTCCCTCTTAATTGATATGTATGGAATTATTTGGTAACCCAAGTACATTTTTTTAATTATAAGAGTCAAATTTGTTTTACAGATATACGATGGAAGAGACAATACTGCTCACCTGCTGGGTGCATTTACTGGAGCATCACTGAGAGGACTGACACTAAGTAGTACTTCAAATCATCTATGGTTGGAATTTAATTCAGACACGGAGGGAACTGATGAAGGTTTTCAGCTTGTTTACACCAGTGAGTATTTGAGAAAACTCAAACAATAGATTTAGAGTGTTAGGATGAAATAAACATTGTTCACAGGAGATAAATGCAGTCCAAAGGCTAACTGATGATAAAATCTGTAGAATGTTACTACCAACTCACCCATATGTCAAAATAATCCAGTTTCAACCTTCTGCACTAAACAAACATTTATTGTATTGGAACAGTAGCTTCGATGCTACTTAGAAGGTCTCTCTCATTTCTCTTATTTGTAGTTTGATATTTGAACTGCTTTCATTTGCTAGAGGGCTATCTTTAAAAAAAAATCTAGCTGCTGGAGATGGGCAAGAAAAATAATTTTCTCTGCAGTAAACCAGGAAAATTTAGGGTGTGATACAGAGAGACACCTTGTATACCTCAAACAAGTTAGTTGGAGTTTAGACACCTAAATCCAAAAAAAGCAATCCAGAAAATCCTACTCTATCAGTTGAAAAAACAGACTTCTGTGGGGTATTTTAATTTATAATGCATGCAAACGTGTATGTTACTACATTGAATTTAGTAACAAGCAATTGCCAAATGTATGGTGCTTTCAGAGATTTGGTAATGAATATTGACAGGAAGCTTGATTGCCATTTGCTACATTAAGTCTATGTAAGAATAATTTGTATTTCTCTGGCAAACAGATTTGTAAACAGCAGCTGCATTAAGAAGTGGTATGCAGCATATTCAGAGGTCAAAAAAAGGATTCAATTTTTAAAGGTTATATGCATATAACATTTAAAGATTTACAAACCTTGTTTGGTAACATTAAAATATATGAAGATTTAAAAGCCCTGCTAATATAATTCATTAGATATAGATAAAAGGTAGAATTTTAAGTGATTTTCAAGCAGACTTTGGCTTCTACACATCAAACAGAACTTTGGTTACTTAGTATCTGAATATGGAATTGTAGATTGGACTCACAAAAAATCATTGCTATAATATATACTTTGGTTGGTATATTTCAAAGGGGGACCATTTCCTTTAGACCAGTTTAAGACAATACGAGAAAAGACAAAAAGACACACAGACCTCAAATAAGCAGGAAAAGGGAATGTAAAAGGAAAAGGTGCTGTGTTGACACAGAAAGGCAATCATTTTTAATTTCACTAATGTGTATTATAGTTTTAGTCCTTTAACTCCACTATTTTACTCCCAAAACAGGTTTTGAGCTTTCACATTGTGAGGATCCTGGTGTGCCACAATTTGGATACAAGATAAGTGACCAAGGCCATTTTGCTGGCAGCACCATCATCTATGGATGCAATCCAGGTTACACACTCCATGGAAGTAGCCTTCTAAAGTGTATGACAGGGGAGAGAAGGGCATGGGATTATCCTCTGCCATCCTGTATTGGTAGTAGATTCTTTTTTTTTTTCACTTTAATCTATCATGTAATTTAAAAACAAACTGATGGTCCTTAAGTTTGCCAGACGCTTGTTAAATGTGTGTGTCTGTAGTTTGGTGTACCTGTAAAATCCTGCTAAGTATGTTCCATCTTGGCATTTGAACAATGTATGAGTGTGTTTCAGAAATTAACAACAATTTCAAAATAAATCCAGTTTGTGTTCAATGATAATTTACTGGATCACATCACTTCTCTACATAGCTGTAAACAATGAGCACTTTTGAAAATGTCACCAGCACCCCCACTCCCACACTGTGTAGTTTCTCACTTAATTGCAGGCATATAGTGTGGGCAATCATTTTGCCATTTGTTTCTGAAACACCCTCATATTTAGGCAGTAAGTGTTGTCCAAATAATGTTCCTCATGTAGGCTAAATATTGTTCCTCATACAGACAGACAAAAAGCCCAACACTGAATCAGTTCAATCTTTGGAGGTTAGTCTAAGCTTCATAGATTGAACTGATGAGCAAGTGAACAGACATTTAGTTTTAATTCTGGAAATGCAGCCACATGTCTGCAGTCGCTGGGCTAGAAGCCGAGGGTCACTAGAGCATGCTTCCTTAATTGCCTGGAGCAGACAGCTGGGGCCAAGTCTAATCCACCCACTGTGTAAGGTGCAAAGCATCCTGGGATACTGGGGGACTGTGAATTAACTTGAATCTGGAGGGGATCTGGGATAAAAGTTCAATAAACTGATTTAACTTAAATCAGCTAAGTCTGATGCTACATCCATCCAGGTTTATCTTAAAATGGTTTCAACCATTTTGAAAGTGGTTTATGTGCACTGAACTTCCAGTTTCTGATCATTTATACTGGCTTATGTGTAGTTTCTGTCCCTAGCCATAAAGATAACTTAAGTGGGCAAAGCAAGCTTATAAAATGCTTTTTTTTTTTCTGTTTGTAATAGCAATATGTATTTTTAAACTGTAATTTATATAACGATTAATTCAGAAAGCACTTTTCCCACCTACATAGTTGTTACAAAGTACAGGGCAAATTAAAAAAAAAAAAAACTAGGAATAAGGGGAAATAAATATTGTGTTTTTTCAACAAACTTTATATAAAGATACACTGCTATATGAGCAAAGTAGGGAAGTAGAGGCATAATACCCTTTGTGTTTCCTTCTTATTCTAGAGAGTTTTTATTTGTTACTGGGTGGCTGGGAACCAAAGGTTTTATTAGTTTTCCTTCCTCTTTACCATTTGAGTGGAGTAGGGCAGAGAGCTTCCTCCTACCCCTTGGGGTCTTTTTTCATGAAAAACTTTCAGTGGTGTGAAAAACAGTCTTTTCCTCGCTTGCAAGTGAGTAAAAATTCCAGTTTTTCTTTGGATCTTAAAATTAGTGATCTATCCAGATAGTAAATATCCACTGGGTCAGCAAGTCCACCAGATTGGAGTCAAGTAGGTAAAGCCATGGAATCTGGAAGAAGCAAATGCTATGTATACAGAGAAATGTGTGTAGCTGAATTTACAATGCGAGGCAGAAGATAAAAGCTCAGGAATAACTTGTAAATATTGGAACAATAAGTTGTACCAAAAGATGTAGCAAAACATTTTGAAATTAAATTTTTAATTTCAGCAGGAACTAGTATAAAATGAGAAGTGTCTTACCTCAGTATGCTCATAAGTAACTGATTGTGATTCCAGATGGATCTACAGTTAATAGATTGCAAATAGAATTTTAGGAGGCATTTTGCCCCAAAATCCTGTATCTTACAAAAATGAAGTTTCCTTGAAAGGTTCAGATTTAATAACCTTGAAAACCTTGGTTTTCTTTCCACAAACTTCAAAAAGCACGGATGTAGTAAATAGCATGGTCTCTCTTCAAGAATGCCGCTTAGAATGGTTATTATAAGGGGTGATTTCTATTACAAAGGCCTCTGTATTGAGACCTAGCTTTATTCAATAATGACAAATGTAGAGTCAGGCAGAATAATCACATCAACAAATATAGATTGGGGAATGACTGGCTAGGCTGCAGTACTGTAGGGAAGGACCCTAGGGTTACAGTAAAAGATAAGATGAATTTGTGCCAGCAGTGTGCTCTTGTTGCAAAGAAAGCAACAGCATACTGGGCTGTATTAGCAGGAGTATTACTTGCAAATCAAAGGAAGTGATTCTTCTACTCTATTCAGTACTGGTAAGGCTCCAGATGGAGTTTTGCTTCCAGTTTGGGCCCCACACTTCAAGAAGGACATGAACTTTTTGGGAAGAATCCAGTGCAAAGCAACAAAAATGATCAAGGGCCTGAGAAGCAAGGCTTATGAGGAAAAAACAAAAAAAAAAACTAGGGCTATTTGGTCTTCAGAAGAGAAGAGTGAGAGGGTATTTGATTACAGTCTTAAACTACCTGATGCATTATTACAGAGAGGATGGAGATGAGCTTTCCTCTGCGTCCATAGGAGACAGGAATAGGCGCCGTGGCCTCAATGTTTAGCAGGAGAATTAAGGTTGGAAATTAGGAGGAACTTTCTGACTATGAGGGTGGTCAAGCATTGGAAAAGGCTACCTAAAGAAATTGTGGAATCACCATCCTTGGAAGTTTTCAAAACCAGGTTAGACAGACACATGGGTCAGATCATGGGCAGATCCAGAATTTTGAAAGGGGGGTGCAGATGGTGAGGGACATCATCATATATAAAACAACACATTTTTGCCTCCAATTAAAAATACATTAGAAGCTTTACTGATATGTTAGGACTGTATTACTCAGTTTAAGATTGAAGCAAAAACAAACATAGCTTCATTGGAATCTGTGAAATAAGAGCATCATTACCTGGAGCATCTAACAGGCAGCAGAACTGCACAAAAAAGAATATCTTGATTGGTGGAACATCATGACCATTAAAATGAAGAGAGGGTTGTTAACATTGTTTAAATGAAGGATTTAGAAGAGATCAGGTAGATGACAATGAGCCATTAAGTCAGGTGATTCCTTAGCACTGTCTGACTTGAAATTATGCTACCACTACCAGGCAATTGGTTTTAATCTTTGGGTGGAGCAGAAATCAAAGCAAGATGCATGTGTACCAGTGCACCCTCCCTGGATCTGCCCCTGGCTGGGATGGTTTAGTCAGGGATGTTCAAGCCTTGAAAAGGGCCTGGACTAGATGACCTTGTGAGGTCCCTTCCAGTTCTATTTTCATATGATCCTATGAACTTGCTACATTTAGGCTACAGGACAGTTATGAGCTTGTGGTATTTGCTCTCCTGAGTTGGAAACGACTTAAATCATAATTTGTGGCATGCATAGTCTGTGATTCTGCCCCATTTGTAGATAGTATACATAAGCTACTGAGTTTGTACAGTAGGCTGGGCATGTGACTGAGTGTAAGTCTCAAAAATCCAGCCTGGAAAAATCTAGGAGGAGGAGGAGACACAGCCCATCCTCCTTACTGCCCGCCTTTAGAAACTGAGTAACTGGACCTTGCATTAATATTTATTAGATGAAGTGGATGGACAGCAGAGAGGAAATTACTGACCCACTGAGAACAAGAGTTCAGGCAAGAAGTGAGGACCTGCTGCCTTCCATAGCAGTATCCATCCCACTGAGCCACATACCCTCGAGCTTGCTCTCTTCTACCTGGACCCACATGTCTCCTTTGTTGCCCAGAGGGGCAACTAAAAAGGAAGGTTGGTGGTTAGACCAACATGGCAAGTTAGGGAGCTCCACTGGATGAGGGGTCTCTAGAATCTTGATCTCTGGCATTCTTCATGAGTACACTAACAGCTAGGCCACTGGACTAAAACATGGAAGACTCCTCCCTCCTGCTCTGGTGTCTAACACCTTTTAGTCATGTTTTTTGTTTTTTGTTTTTTTTTTACCAGATACAGTATCATGACTCATGCCCACCTATGGGAGGTGCATATGCAACCATGTATCATCCCAGCCAGTATTCAGTCTATACCTCAAGCTCAGTAGCCACGGTTAACTACCATTTGGGCATATAAAGTGAAATAACATTTTGCCCTTAAGCAACTTCTCAAAGTCACAAATATCAATGACAGAGTAGTGAACTAAACCTGAATCTCCTAAGTTTCAGATTGTCACCTTACACAATGTGACATGCACACACATCTTTCCCATACTTGCTAAATAGATTTTTTGGAGAATTATAGCAAAATCACTGTATGCTTTGTATGTAGACAAGCTTCAGAAGAGGAAAGGAAAAGTAGATTTTGATGGCAAATAAAGCCATACTCTAGACTTTTATGTCTCTTTGTGTAGTTTGTTCATAGTAATTAAATAAAGATCAAACTCTGTATCTGTAAGATACTGTTAAATAATATGTTATAAACCCTATAAAATGTTTTTCACATAGCTTCATATTTGCAATGTTGCCAAGCATATTTCCAGAGATTAATGTTCTCTTAATATTAGTACAAACTGAGGAAATTGGTTTAAGAGATAATGAAACCCAGCCAGGCAGTGCACCAGCTAAGCTATGTCAAAAAGGAAGATCAGTCAGAACATTTTGTTCTGCTGTGTGAAGCAGCAGTGATGAAGTTGCTGTGTTCAAAAGTAGAGACCAGTAGCACAAATGGGGTGAGTAGGTTGGGCGCACGTCCTGCGTACTGCCTAAGGGAACAGGTGAGAGCGCCTCATCCTCCCATCTCCTGATCTATCAGCCGGAAGCAGCAGCACAGGCAATGTGTGTCATGGGTTGCCAGGGGATCTGGGAATTGTAAATAGCAGCAGTGGAGTTCACTGTTTGTGATCTGAATCAGGGTTTTGTAGTTGCAGTATGTCTACACTGCAGTGAAATCCTGGAGTCAAACAACAATTTAGAGTAGGCCTTGAAACTGTCTAGAATGTAGTGGCTGTTGGCTCATTTGTAATCAAAATTAAATCAAGTTTATTTTGAGATTACAAGCAAAAATTAACAGTGATAAATACGTCTTCAGATATGTCAGAGATAGAGAAGGGTTAAAAGTAGGTTTTCCTGTTTGTGAATATTTTCATCATTTTTTTTCAAAATTTTCAACCCAAATTAGACCAAACCTTTAATTTTCTACAAATTGAAAATTATTTGGAACTATTTTAAAAGTACATACACTCCACTTTTCTGGAGTTCCTGGTTCTGGCACCATTCCTCCAGGCATACTACTCACACTAAAGGTATCCTAGAAACCACCACATCCTTGCCTAGAGCAGGCCATTAGGAAACCATGAATTGTTTTCATAGATTTCATAGACATTAGGGACTAGACGGGACCTCGTGAGATCATTGAGTCCAGCCCTGTTATAGGCAGGAAGTCTGCTGGGGTCAAATGACCCCTGCAAAATAAGCATCCAAACACTATTTGAAGGAGTCCAGAGTAGGTGATGACACCACCTCTGGGGGGAGTCTGTTCCAGACCCTAGACACTTGGACCATAACGAAGTTTTTCCTTAAGTCCGTTCTAAGTCAGCCTTCCAGAAATTCATGGCCATTAGACCTTGTTATCCCTTGGGGAGCCCTGGTGAATAACTGTTCTCCCCGATCTTGTTGCCACCCCCCCCTTATATACTTATAGGCTGCCACCAAGTCCCCACTGGTTCTTCTCTTCTCCAAGCTGAAGACTCCCATGTCCCTCAGCCTCTCCTTGTAAGGCCTGTTCTCTTGGCCTTTGATCATATGGGTGGCTCTCCTCTGGACACCCTCAAGCTTTTATAGGAACTTTAGATAGGATTCTGGAAAATATTGCTAAATTTGGTATATTATACCAAAAAAAAACCCCCAAATGGTGCAGTCAATTAGCATTTTCTGGAAAAAAATCTTTGTTTCATCAGAAAATTTCTTACCAGATCTAGTCAACAGATATTTCAATTTGCCTTTATAGTCTGAAATCAAAATCAGCATTTGAATGTTCAAAGCACTTTCACAGGAAAGCAAGAAACTGACATGAACAGAATGGCAAAATGGATATGATGTGTTTTCCTCATTCATATAGCTCTGATAAAGAGAAACAGCCTAAATACATATTCAACATTGAAATGAATCATATTTCACTGGTATGAAAAAAATCAGTTATTATTATTAATCATCTTCAAATTTGGAACGGACTTTTGAACATCTTGTGGAGCAAAAGTTTAATGTACTTTTTACTTTCTTTCGTCTGCTAATGAATAATCTGCTAATAGTGTACTTTGTTTATGTCCTCACTTTACCACAAGCATAATAGTCTATCCCATCCTTTGAATTGAACAGTCACTAAGGAATATTTTTTTAAAAGACTTTGTAGAAATTAACAGGTTGGGAAAGTGCCTAAAAAGATATGAAGGAGCCACCTGTCTCTGAAAATTTGCTTTTACCATATCAGAAAATCTATCAAGAGTACCATTTCAATTAAATTTTGTCACAGAGCTTGTAGATCATGAGGTAATAAATCCCTCGACTAAATATTTTAGGTGATGTTAAATCAAAATAGAAATGCATTTTAACTACACCAAGAGATCTAATCAAAGCATTATTTTGGCTGAGGAGTGGACAAGAGAGAAAGCATTAGAGTGATTTAAAAAGGAAGTAAAGCAAAGTAAGGAGGTTTAAAAGGCCTGCGGGGTCTTCATAAAAATTAGGTTTCTCAGAGGTCGGGTAGCATGACCATGAATTATTCAAGTTTGCCTAATGACTGGCTGAGGCCAGCTAACAGGGAGTCGCTTACCATCTGTTATCCTGTAAGAAATATTATAGCTTGACTATGATTATACATATCTGGTGAGAAGTTTTACAACTTTGCTTCTCAAGATCAACTGCTTATTTGTCTCAATGCACATTTTGGCTTTATTTGTTTTATTTCCTTCTCTGCTACTTTTCATTTTCTGTCTTTCTCTTTACATCCCTCTTCATTTGTTATTTTATTCCTACTGCTTAAAGGTCATATCACAGTTTTGGTTTTGAGGGAAACGCACTTGTTGGCTTCATTAGTAGTTTTATTTGCTAAAAATCAATCTTACGCCATGTTCCATGGTAATTCTGTTGCCTTCAGAATGATTGGGAAAGCATAGGAATTACATCAAAATGCATAAACATCTTAATAGAAATACATAGTAACATGCCTTTTAAAGCCTCTGTTACGTCCATATTTAGATTGTTACTTAATAAATACAAGACATATTCAAGCATAACATTTTGATTTATAGTTAAGTTGTATATAAACAAAGATCCAAACAAAGTTTTGAAGAATCATGTGTAATGTAATGATATACTGACAGTAAAATGTTATGTACCGTAATTGTGTTTTCATTAGCTGAATGTGGAGGCCGGTTTAAAGGAGAATCATCAGGAAGAATCTTATCTCCTGGTTATCCATTTCCTTATGACAACAATCTGCGTTGCATGTGGATGATTGAAGTAGACCCAGGAAATATTGTCAGGTATGGTAACTTGAACTCATATTATTGATCAACAAGAACTCAAGCTTCAAAATGTAGATGGAGGTGTGCATTTCCAATACTGAACATTTATGTTGTGATTTTGGTTTAAATATATCTCTGTTTTCAGTGTCACTGCCCTTGCAACTGGGCACTAAAATTGTTGCATATTTGATGAAACATCATGATGACGTGCATCATGGACATGCATCATCAAGGGCATGTAGAAGCCTACAGATACACACTGAATAATACTGGAGACATTTGATACCACAGCCACCAAAAAAACCAGTTAAAAAGACAACATTAAAAAGAAAAGATTGTAGTTCAATAATTAATTTAAAATCAGGCAACTAATAATGATAGATATCATCATATCCGTTACTTAAAGCACCAAAAACAAATGATCCAAAGAATTAAATGGGTATGTTTCAATTTGTGCTGATGATGTTTTGACATTTAAAGTAATGTTATTTTAATATGAGTAAGGAAACAAAAAGATATGTTTTCTTTAAACAGATTTTGGGGACTTTTGTAGATTATTGGAATGGCTAGAGTAATATATTATTACACTAAATGTAAATTCACATATTGTGAGGTACAAAAAATTCAAACTACTATCAAAATATTTTCTATATCTAATATAGTTGTACATATTTACTTTCAAATTCATAGAAACAAAAGTATTGTGAAAAAGACCTTGTGGCTTTAGTTTTCTATTTAAAGATATGTTATTTAGAAAAATAAAATTGATGGAAAAATCATCTTGTTTCTACAGCCTCCAGTTTCTGGCTTTTGATACTGAAGCGTCACATGATATCCTCCGCGTTTGGGATGGTCCACCTGAGAATGAAATGCTACTTAAGGAAATTAGTGGTTCTCTAATTCCAGAAGGCATTCACAGCACACTCAACATAGTGACCATCCAATTTGATACAGACTTTTACATCAGCAAATCTGGGTTTGCCATTCAGTTCTCAAGTAAGTTAATTTCCATTTTTTATATGCCAGGTTGCATATTTTTTATATTTAGTGATTTTTTTTATCTTTATATTTTGAAATGAAATAGTGTATGTTTTATATAATCTTGGTTCTCTTTAACCAGCTCTAGATCTTACTGTCATTGAAACTAGTGACAATTTTCCATTGACTTCAATAAGAGCAGAGTAAGCCCCAAATTGTAGTATGTGTAATACAGTATATTTTTGTTATGGCTGCAAGAGATAGCACTGATTCTTTTTTTAAAATATCTATTTATTTTGGCTGTATTGGCATTGCTTGAAGAGCAAGCAGATGAGAAAGAGCAACAGATCTCAGTACTAGTGGTTTGTCATGAAAGAAGGTGATGTGGGATTATTACGGACTGCATCCATTTCTACTCTTTGGAAGAAAGTCTCAAAGTGAGCATAACTGCTTTAAAAGGCACCTGTTTGCTTGGGCTGCCATTGTGCAGGATGACACAAAGCAGCACCAGGGAAACAGCACCACCTCTATCCTGCCAGTCCTGCTTCATCTACCGGATTTAACAAGCAAACTCTGTGATAGTAATTTAAGCGGTTTCCTTTTTTTTACTCTGTGTTCTGTTGCCAAACAGAGGAAATAATGTGACTTACCATTTTTTTTACTACTTAAAGGGAATATTTTTTTTTCTGAAAAGAAATGCAGATTTAGATCCAGCTTTTTTTTCCCACCAGCAATTGCACCCTTCCATCTATGGTTTCCTCAGGTTCTGTATAACAACAGTGATTCTATTTTAATTCTAAACGTCAACAGTTCTGTTAACCCCCATTTTTCCATTCCTCTTGTTCTCTCAGGTAGGTATGCACCTATGTATAGACACACATGTAAAACTTGGGGTTTAGCAGCTTTAGGAAAAGGAGGAGGTGAGTTTGATGTGTGTGACTGAAAGGGGCTAGGTGGAGAAACATATTTGTTCTGTCCTTTGCTATTTACTGCCATGTGACTCCCCATGTAATAGTTGGATAGTCTCCTTTTTTCCCCTCATCTCAGAGGTCTCTGCTCCACTGGCTTAGGTATGGGCGACCGGTGCCTCCTGATCCCAGGCGGGGCACCAGGCACATCCCCTCCCTCTCCCCCTCCCATCTGCATGGAAAAAAACTACCCCACTTTTGGGGGCCAATCTCGGGGGGGGGGGATGTGCCCCCCCGATGCCCCATCTTATGCATTGCCTATGGCCTTAAGCATACTGTTCTCATAGTTTGAGTCCGGGGCACTATACTGCACAAAGGCATGGGGAGCATTGCATGCTAATCCCATTCATGTACTCACTTGCCTCCCTAAAGAAAAGGTTTTCTGAAGAACTGCTGGAGAGTCATCTGAGTAGAAAAACATTCTGCTTTGCCTTTCTGTGTTGCCATTCTTAGTGCTGAGGTATCATAATAGTAGTACAAGAAACTAAGAGCATGTTGCTGCCTCAGTACTCAGCTCTCCTGCTATCCCAGATCCCTTGTACAACTCTGTTCCCTTGGATATGGACCTCTTCAGCTCCCTGTCCACATCCCCAATCTTTATTCAACCTCCTACATGGTTGTTTTTCCCACAAGCTTTTCTATGGCCTGAATGCCTAGTTTTACCTCTCCCCTTCTCCAGGACCAGTTATTTATCCAGCTACACAAGAGGCCTGTCTTTCTATCAACTGTTCATGCATAACTCCACAGCTTCAGTGGATGCAAAAGCACAAAATCACTTTGTCTTAGAACAGAATTTGACTCTTTTATACATTGTGCAATACATATGAAAAAAAGAGATTAGGAAAACAGTAACGAAAATGGGGTAATGTTACAATGATCTTCATCAAGTGAAAGAAAAGAATACACATCTCAGAAAGGAACATAACAGAAACAAATTGGAGAGGGTTATTAAATAGTTGTTGGCATTCCTTTATCTTGTGTGTCGTAGGTAGGGGGTCTATCAAACTCAAGAAGGCTGCCAGCCAATTTTGCAGGCAGATACTGAGGCTGGCCACCATTTTCATGGGCTGAGCATGGTGGACCTCCCCAAATGCCCTGGCAGTCCCACCCCTCCCTGCAAATTGCCAGATGGCCTGAAATCATGGCATACCCTGATTTAGCCCAGGGAATGCATTAATCCATACATTATTAAGCATGGATTAACAGCTTCCCTGGCTGTTAATCCATGTAATCAGGGTAATTAACCTGTGGTGTCAGGCCACCCTCAAGTGGGTGGGCTGCACAAGAAGCTGCAGCAGGGTCCCAGGCATAGGTGCCAACTTTTATTTTTGGGTAGGGGGTTGCCTAAATTGATGTTGTTCCCCACCCCCAGTGGCACAGCCAGAGCAGAGATAATCAGAACCCATGCAGACAGTGGGGGCAGATGCAGGCTGCCCACTGCATACTCAGAGTTGCCTTCCCCCTGGGAGCCCTGTGCCACCATTGCAAGGCACCCCCTGCCTGCCCAGCAGCAGCAAGGGACACAACCCCATGCTGCCTCTCCAGCCCATATTCCTGTCCGGCAGGCAGAGAGCCCCTCACTTTTAGCAGTGTGGGGCTCCCAGGGGGAGGGCAGCAGGGTGGGAAGTCCCAGGCCTGCCACAGGCAGCCCACATTTCCCCTGCCCTGGGCACAAATCTGGGGGGCATGTGTTCCCCCATTCTCCCCTCCCTGGAAGTGTGAATAATGGCAGGAAGCTGCCTTGCCTCACCCCCCAGACAAGATGTCTGTGGTTCTGTCCCACTGCCCTCATGGGCCCTATGCACCACCCTAGCTGGGAAACATCTTCAGGCCCAGTCCCTCTCCTCTCCCTCCCTCACCATGGAGACCTCGATCTGTCCCCCCCACCCAACTTACCAGCAGGCAGCTGGGGGAGCTGCTCTACACTGCTGCCTGGGGCTGGATTCCTGGCCACATGCATGTGTGTGCTCCCACACATGTACGTGGCTCTCCTATGAACTGCTCCCAGCAGCCCCTCTGAGGGGTCCACAGCAACCTGGGTTTTTGTCAGTCTTTAATTAGGGATGAGTGGTCACCCTAGCCTTTTCCCAAGTGGAACCAGGGCCCTCCGTCCCCCGTGTACTTGGCACCTATGGTCCCAGACCAACTGTGGGAGGCAGCCCAGAGTCTATACTGGGGTCCATGGAGCCCCAGCCTGGCTCATACACGCTTCCCCCGTCCTCCCTGTGCTCCAAGACTGCAGGCTTCCCTTCCTTTTCTCTGCTTGCCGATAACTTGTTTTGTTGTTGTTGTTGTTACTGGGGTTTTTTGTTTTTTGTTTCTTTGCAGTGAGTCTGCCATTTTTTGTGGGGCCCACCATTTTTTGCGGAGCCCACCCAAATTCATGATTTCTGTAAAAAGCATGCAATCTCCCATTTAGTAGGTCTCTAGTTACAGGAATTGCTATCATTACTGTTTGTTATTAAAGTAATCCCTAACACTTTACTATACATAATCCTATTTTCAGTGATTTATAACATTGCTAAACTAACTATATTGACTGAATTTTTTCACAGTACCTGTCTTCATCAGACTTTTTTTCCCATGAGAGGAAGGTGGGGAAAGGAGAAAAGACAACCAAAACTGTTTAACCATTTCTAAAAACAAAACTAGAAAAGATGCATTACTATGCCCTAATTAAAAACAACCTTTAAAATGTCTTTGTTTGAAGTGCTCAAGTGCTCCTATCCTCTAGAGCCAACACTTGAAGTTTGGCAGAGGAATTGGCATGAGGGATAGATTAGGAGTGAGTTGGCAAGGAGATAGCTACTAAGAAGGATGAGAATCATGAGGAGTAAGAACTAGTTTAGCACCGAGGAGCCAGCATTGGGATAAAGTTAGAAGTGGGATGGGAAGGTTTTGAAGGGAGAGAACAGAAGTGATTAAGGTTAAGGGAAACAAGCAGGAGAACCTATGATAGTTAGAATGAATTCTACTCAAGAGCCTGGAATAGAGACTAAGAATCCTACATCTCACCATTTCTCTGGCAAAATGTGTGTCTCATCCCTGTCCATTGTTGGTCCATGTAGAGGATAGTGACCTACAGTTACTTAACAGTTTGTTTGTGCAAGTGGCAGGGGTCTTTGCAGTGGATCCAGAGATTCCATCCCTGGTGATGACCTATAAGGTTGTCATGATGATACCACATAGTAGGGTAGGGGGGGCAAGCTACTGTTGGTGGGCGGAGGGATAAAGCTGCCTTGAATTAGATTGTATCCCTGTCTCTGCCATAGAATTACATTGTGATATCACTTCAACCACATAGAGCAAAGTGTTCAGTTAATTAATAACCTTTAACTAACACAGCCATTTAGCATCTTAACTAGCCCATCAAGACTTGACTATCCCCATACCTAAGCCATGTGCCATATTCAGAGTGAGCTGTGAGTCACCCCTGACCCATAAGCCACCCCCAGTGAGCCCTGAGTCATCTCCAACCCTGGAGCTACACCTGGGGCCCCAAATTACCCCACCAGTCGCCCTTTCCCCCATTTTTGCTGAAACTTACTGCAGCTAGTAATGAGTTGTCCAGGGTCTCATTCAAGCTGCCCCCAGTCTTGTGCATCCTAGGTCTCTGATTGGTCAAGGTGAGGATCAGGATGTGGGTGGGGAACAGGATTCCACTGCTGTTTTCATCATCATCTTGCCATACTGGGCCTGCAGGTGTGCATTACTTAGTGTGGTAGGGAACAAAGGCATAGTCTGCCTCAAGGATCCTTGACATCTCCTTGTGGAACGGGACCATGATTCTTGTGGCACCTGAGATCTTGTTGGAATCCCTGTCCTGAATATACTGCTACCTCATGCACTTGATTTTAATGTGGATTTACTTCCAGTACCACTGGTACCCCCAAGTCACCATTTGGGTTACAATGAACCTGCAACCCAAATGACTGTCTGGTTCTTTTGGCTGCCCTTCCCACATTGGTTTCCTCCTTGCCCCAGATTGCAATGAGATCTAGCACCTTGTCATAAGTCTAGTTTATGGCCCTCCTGCAGGCATGTGGAGAG